AGAAGGCCAGTACTTGAGAAGCTAAGGAAAAGCTCCACATTTTTCAAATCCAAGAAATATCCCAAAATAAGCAAGATAAAAACACTGAGAAAGATCGAAAATAACATTAATAGACATATTCTGATAGTGTCAGATTGAAGTATACACTCTTGCTGTTGAAAAAAAACCAAACCCTTGACCAGGGAAGAATGCAGTTTACCACAGAGAACCAACTACCATCTACACTGGAAAAGGGAGTGCCTCAAGGACAACTGAGGCACTTGATCAAAGTCCTAACAATGAATTGCAGTAACAGGCAAAGACCTCAGGTTCTGAATGGACAGACAGGGAAAGCCCTGGAACCAGAACTGAAATCAAGGCAGAGCACAGCTGATTTGGAAAGAACCCATGGAAACAGACGGCATTAACACCAAATACAGCAAGGGAAACGCATCCAAACCAATGAGTTGCTGCTTGCAATTTTTTCCTGAAAAAACCAAAGCCACCTGAAGCAATTGCCAATCAACTTGAAATCACCTAAGACAGTAGCCTGGATTTCATGATTCTAGGACCTCCTGAGATAACCCATAAAAGTTATGGGAGAACTAGGAAAAAGAATGACGTACGTGGTTGCTGATGTACTACAAATCCAAATCTTCTGATGGTCTAAAGCACTGTGAACTAACTTCATGGAAGATAAACCACCACCACTCAGGAGTCTGTATTCTCTTGATGAACACAATATATTCAGGAATAAGCCATGTATTTTGTGCTGATAGACACCACAAAGATCATTGAAGAGAAACACATTAAACATCAAAAGAGCATTGTCCTGTGACAACCCCAGGGACTCTCATCAGCAAAAAAAAAAAAAAGTCCTCAAGATTAGTTTGTCAGCAGGACCTTGATGAATATTAAAAAATGTTGTGAACAAATGGAAAGGAAACACCCTCAAACAGTAACAGTTCTGATACAGATCACTGCGTATGAACTGGAAATAATAAGGGTTCAACAGACAGCTATGAAAAATAAGAGTCCCCCAAACAAGGAACACAAGCCTCCATGCACTGCTGATAAAGACGTGCTAAGTCTCCGTCAAACTCAGCCTTGAATATCTGTATTCACATTTGCACAAATTAAACTTAAGACACCAGCTCTGTTTCATTTTGGGTACAAAGTAGCCACCAACGTAAAATCCTCTGTGCACGGCCTGAGCTGCGACGGCTTCTCCAGCCCCTCTGGCCAGGACAGCATCAACATCCTGACTGATGCTTCTGGAAGGCCTGATGGGTTTCCAGTCAACCTCTGTTTCAGAATGAGAATTTAATCTCAGTAGGGAACAGAAATTGTTGACCTTTCAACCCCTTAAAGTGACTTTCTTAGTTTTTAGGAGAGAAACGTTTATTACTGCTCATCTGAAGAAAGAAGCATGATGTACTCATGTCACGAATACCATTTGCCCAAAGAGTGCCCTGGATTATCCAGTTCAACAAAAGCTATGGGACTGTACAGCAGTTTCAACAACAACAAAACGCTTGGTGAGCACGTGAACAGAACTCATATATATGTTTGGTTTCACTGCTCAGTGCATTACTTTCACAGATTTTGTAATATTTTATTTTGCTGATACAGAACTTGGTAGTGATATAATATCTGTTGTAAGCAGGGAGGGCTGAAAGGATCAATTGATTCAGTAACAGAAGGTTTGGTGTGTTACCTTTCAACGTGATTTCCAGAATGCTGTAGTTTGCACTCATCAGGGACTGCAAGTCTTGAGTTTTCATTTTAATTCCTTAAAGCAACTCCTTAGACGCAGAGAAACATGCATCACTACTAACCTGGAAAGCAAAAGTCTACTGTTCACATGATCTGACACCTGTTACCACTGCAGGGAGTCTCTTAACTCCCTCAGTGTCACCCATCAAGAAGTAAGCTGGGAAACAGTTGAGCGAACTACAGTTGGTTCAAGTTACTTTTGCACAGATTTTATATAGAGGCTTGTAAAACATCCAAAACTGAATTTTCAAACCATCAAGCACGAACCTGCTGGCTCGCTGCAACTGGTATGGGCAGGTTGTAAATTTTGATAACACTTGGACTAAACCAAAGTGACATGTTCTGATCTTGCCATTAATAAAGTGACACGACACAGAACTACCAGTTAGGAACCTGACCGCAGGTTTTGCAGATAGACTGTTTAGATGAAAAATGGGGGCTTCGGGGCCCAGAAAGATGAGGGTGAAGATCCTGGGAAGCTGAGGATGATCCTGGAGATCAGAGATGCATGGAGATGAATGCTGAGGAATGCCCTGGGACCACAGCCTGTAATGCTTGAGACTGTTAACTGCAAGCAGTTGCAAAGCAGATATTGACATGACTTTCTGCCCTGTCCTCCCAGACCAGCAGTGATTCCCTTGCTGGGAAGGAAAGTTGAGACCTCAGTAAACACACCACCACTGTGGGGAGCAAGTGAGGGGACTGTGTGAGACACACAAGCAGGGCTATATTCCTCATCAACTTGATTCTTAAAAAAAAAAAAGCCAACAAACAAAAAAACCCTCCCAAAACCAAACCAGTATCCAGATCCTCTACAGGCTGTCATTTACTGTCTCACCTCTGACACCATGACACACATTTGTTGATGATTCAATTACTTTGTGCACTATCTTTCATTAAGTGGATGTGAGACTTCCACTCATAGCAGACAGCTCAGAGTCCTGGAAAAATGATGTAAAACGCCTGCTCCTTTTGAGTTTGCTGTCCTGTGCATGTAGCCACTTGAGTGTCCCCTCAGTCCAGAGAAACACATTTATCTCTACCATAAACCAGGCAGAGAGAACTGAAAAAGCATTTAGGTACATATATTGATCTGGTTTGGCAACACAGAAGGGAATTTTTCACTTTGTGACAACCTGCGTGTCTCGAGCATACAGAGCAAGAGAAGACACTAAACGAAGTCGCATTTATAGACAGCAAAAGAATTTTGGAACAAAGTAAGGAGCAAATGTAAGAGGCTCTGAGCTCCAGGAAAGACATATCATTTATTAAAATACATAGCTGAAAGGTCAAGCTCTGAATCATTCATTAAAAACAGGAATCTGTCAGGTTCTAAGGAAGCTCTCATTTGATCTGAAGTTAACAGGAGGTCTAACAGACTCAAAGGGTACAGTTCGAGTGAATGTCAATCTTGAGGCCCAGATACTGGAAAAACAACTATATCAGAAGCTTCGAAAGATTGACAAACCATCCACCCCTAATAACCATTCACTGAGCTAAATGAAAAACAACATTTCTGATACTAAGCAACTATCACCAGCACCAGAGAAGACTCTGAAAAGACACGAACTGGACTGAAGGATCCTGATCTGTTATTATGCATGCAAATGTTATTGGACCATGCAAATGTAGCAACGAGGAGTGGTAGCAATGAAATCTGTTTAAGACCTTGGAGACAGATCTGAATCAATCCTCCTCCTCCTCCTGAATATCTCAAAGACTGCTGTAAAAGATCAATTGCTGAAAACACAGCCACAGCCAACTTCTTTTTTATTTTACTTTATTATTATTAGCTTTCAGGTGGAGGGTGTTTTGTTTTGGGTTTGTTTTGGTTTAACACTAGGAGTGGCCACTGCACAGTCCTGTACCCTGAATGCACTTAAACTGACACCACAAAATTTGTGGACATCACAGTGTCCATTTCAATCACTTTTTTAAGACTCCTAGTGAATCCCAATCCGACTTTGTAAGGGAAAAAAGAACAAACACACACAAACACAACCTAAAACCCAATTCACATCAAGTAAGGAACTATGTTAAATATAAATATACTGCCCCACTGGGCAAATTCAGTAAGAAATAACCTCTACTAAATCCTACCCACACATAGCAAGGCAGCTAGAACAGTAAATCCTCACCAATCTTTCCAATGATTAGCACGATAAAAATCTCAGAGTAGCATCAAGTTTTGATGCATATAAAAAGGAAAAAAAGCAAAGGAAAGTATCTCTGGTGCCTGTCATATATATGGAAGACAGTCAAATGCTTATTTATATGAACCAGGAGAAAAGAAGAAAAAACAAAAGAAAAAAACATTCCTAGGAAAAAGTCTGGGTATTTCAGGAATTTGTCAAGAATGTCTGTAAGTGAATGACAAACACTTTAAAACTATTCTCTTTTAGGCTACTTTAAGTGGAACTTTCACATTCTTTTCTACCTAATTCAATGCTCTGTTGATGTCTGACAAGCAATGGTGACACTCCACATGAACTTAAGATGAAAAATTAAAGCAGGTTTTTCTTATGGACCTAAACAGGTTTCAGGCAGTTAATATACACAGCTTTTTCCTGAACTGTCTCAGCTTAAATCTAACCCGTACATCTTCCTCCAATGAAGATGATAGCATCTTTTTATACCCTTAACCTCTTGCTAGAGCAAGCAATGGGAGTCACAGTATACATGTATTTCTGCATTTTCCTTGCTATGTAAGACAGGTTTTCATTTTTATGTTACCTTTTAAAAAGCTGCTAAAAATCTCTGCTCAATTTCACTAGATATTTCATGTCTTTTTATTGTTTAGGGGAAGTTAATGCAATGGATGATTAAGAATGTATATTTTTTTAGAAGTTTATTACAGAAAACAATTACTTATGTCTACTGACTACACAGTAGACTCTTCCACGAGTTACTGCAAGAATAAAAATAAATTCTCTAAAATATTGCCAGATTCATTTAAACTTCTTTTATCACAGTGCAGTAAAATGAAGTAAAACAAAATTTTGCATTGTATCCACTATAGTAATAAACCAACTCATAATATTAAACAATAAAAGGTGATGACAATAATCAACACATCAGTGGAAGCACTGGAGCCAGAAAGCCAGGATTCTGGTTTAAACCTTTTATAAGAAGAGATATTTCACAGTACATGCTGACAAATTGCATATAGCATTCCTACACAAATAGAAAGTAAAATTGAAAAGCAGTGCCTTATTAATGAAAGCACCAAACAAAATATGCCTTACCTGAGTTATTCCACTGGGAGAGATCTTGTATGACTGCAGCTTCTGCTTCAATAGCTCAGGATCACTGTGGCGGAATGGGCACCCTGACAGTAAAAAGCAAGCAAGCTCACAAACAAGGCTGTTTACCCAGGAGTTATCACAGTAGAAACTCAAGAGACCAGCTAAGCTGTTCCTAATTGCATAACTGCTTATTAATAAGAAAGTTAATTGCCCATGTGTACAATTGCCTACTTTTTTTTTTTTTTTAAAATAACAACTCCACTACATGGTTATCAGGCCACCACAGGCTCAAGAGTTACATAAAATATCCCAACATAAACAGGCCACAATTCTCATCCACTGACAGGAAAAGAGTTTTAGTTAGTTCCTTACTAACAATGATAGTGCTAGCACATTTAATAGCTGTGAAAAAAAAACGGAAAAGGCAAGTAATGAGAGGCAACTGGTCTTTAAAGCATAGTCCTTTGTAAAAATATTACTTTATAAATACTTTAGAAAGTTCCACCACCTTAAATAAGAGTGGGGTTTTTTTGTCCCAGAATTAGTTTTGAGACACAACTGAATGAATGACTTAGTACCAGAATAAGAATGGTGAAGCCAGTGCAGGTTTTCCATGTTTAGTCACACAGAGGTAGGAGGTTTAAAAGTACCCTAGCAAACTTCAGAATTACTGCATGATTGAATTTATATCTCAAAACATCTCTAATTGGTCACTTTTTAAAGCATCTGCACATTTAAAGTCTCCTTGCACTGCATGACACAATGTATATAAAACCAGAAGCTACGAAGTGCAGTCTAAAGAGAACAGTGCAAGACCACTGTGGCCTTGAAATTAAATACATAATTTAAGAGACTACAGGAGGCAGTAACTTCTCTAGCCAAGGGCTTCTGCTGTTTTTAAACTTTTTTTTTTTTTTTTTAAGGAACTCACCGTGATAATCCCCTTGACTTGGTGGATTGGACATGATAATCTTCATGCAGCTGTATGGGGTATAATCAGTTCTCTTTCCTTCTTTCCCATAGCTGTGGCGAATGCTGTAAGCATATCCTTTGTCAAACTAAATAAAAACAAAAGAATAAATTCTTACATATTGTGTCAGTAATTCTATCTGCTCTGCAAATAGAAATATTGGACAACAAAATAAATCCTCCAAACACAGGCAAATTGAGAAAAATAAAAACAGAGTTGCTTGCTGCTAGCTTTGATTCTTATACTACATGGACTTGTATATGCGTATATACATGGTTTACAGACACATCACAAGAGAAGCGTGTAACTGCATTGATTTAAGATCTTTCCAGCTGATGTGGTAATCGCTTTAAAGATAGGATGATTTAAAGATCAAAATTTTGAACCCCACAATGTTAGTAAATGGCGAAAACATAGTAATTTAAAATCTTTCATAAACGTCCATAAATTGATTGCTTTATCAGGGCAAAAAATAGAAATATAGATTTCTTTACTCAGGTTCACATTCTTGTTCTCCCAAAGTATAACGCTTCACTTATATTTGGTTTCAGCATTGAAGTTCAATTCATTAGATTCTAAAATGGAGTCTATTTCGCTTGTACAAAAGAGAAAGATTTTAGCAAATCTCTTTTGTTTACCAGTAGACTACCAACTCCTCCAATAAAATGAAATATTCTAAAGTAATATAGATGTAAACAAACATTTATCTTGGCAGCTGAGTACAGTACTATCAATATATCATTTTAGATAAGTCCTGGGGAGAACATTCAATGACATGAATTCATGTTATTTTATATGTGGCAATAGGTGACAGAAAATCTGTAGTAGAATCAGATAATTTAACATACGGATTCCACTAAGTTGCATTAGCTACTATAAGACATCAAGGAACATTTGTTCAAATACCATACTTCTAGTTCCAAAAAAACCAAATAGGATAGAATAATGAAGCATCATACTTAGAATTACACATCCTCAGTCTCTTCTCCTCAAAAAAGCTGTGACAAAGCATAAAAGAAAAACTGCTCTTCCTCAATTCAAAATTTTAGCATTACCCTTATAAAAAGTTCTGTACCTGAATTAAATATAAACAACTCCCATAAGAATTTATGTTTTATTCTCAAAACCCACTTTAAAATATTTTTTTACTCTGATATCTAACACAAGACAATGTAATATACTGAGAAAAATCATTCAAGTGTAGAACTGGTAACTCTACTACTTCAAGGATGCTCTCATTTCTACAGATAAAAGTAGTTCCCTGTTTGGCCTGTGGACTTCCAAATAGTAATTCAGAATATTCATACACCTATGAACTACCTTAACCTGCTAAAACATGTCTAAAATAAAATAGAAAAATAAGTATATTTTTCTTCATATAAAACACTTCAATGTTTTTGAAAAATATAAATAATTGAAAACCTATAACATAGAATCACAGAATCATAGAATCGTCAAGGTTGGAAAAGACCCTTAAGATCATTGAGCCCAACCGTTAGCCTAACACACACATAAATAATTAAATACACACAACCTTTGAGAATTTAAAAAATTAAATACACACAACCTTTGAGAATAAAATCCTGAATTGCACCTGATTCTGGAAGGGTAAAAAAGAAACTTCTCTATCAAGATCATAATCAAGTCAATGTATCAAGAAGAGTAATATTCAGCACTTCTTACAAATAAGGCTTAAGACATCCAAAGCTCTGAATAAACATTGACTAATTAATCCTTACTGTGCATCTGACAAAGTGACTTTACTCCATTTTAAAAGATTAAAGGGCGGGGGCAGGGGTGGAAGAAAAGAGATAGAGAAAACACATAGCATTGTGTTTGCCAGCATAGCCACGGGCAGGATCCAGCACATAGGAGTATTCCTATCTAGTCAGCCCTTTTGCCCAGTGTGGTGGTGCCTCCCCCCCATCCTTTCCTGAACTTTTACAATCTCAGTAACTCCCATCAAAACTTGGCCTGCGTGTAACGAGTTTGGCGGTTAAGCGTCCTTTGACTATCAGAAACCCTTACGTGGCTAAGCTGGGAGTAGCACTGTCTGTACCAGGGAGCCAGTCACCCCCTGACAATCTCAGAATACATTTTACGTCTGTACCAGGAATAATCAGCTGTCCCCGACAGTCTTGGGGCATATCTTATCTGGGTTGTAACTCAGGAGGATCTCTACCAGCATCACTGGAATTTTTGAGAACTTCAGTAATTTCCAACCTGGATTGTGCCAATAGGATAGAAATTTACTGATGCCTAAAGTCGATCATCTCACGACCCTATAAGAAGCGGTACCAAGGGAGACCCTTTGAGCTCTCCTGGATCACAGCGGGCTGCGCCAGCATCTCCCTCCGAGCGGGATGCCTCTCAGAGCTGCGAACTTCTAAGTTTGCATACAGAGGCCTGACGACAGGACCTGGGCTGATCTCCGGCGCCTTTCACTCCTCAGGACTCAACCTTCGCCCAATGAGTTAATTATTTGATGTGAGCATTTCACTGAACTCAAGGGGAATTTTTACTAGGTACCTTTATATATGCATATTGTGAGTATTTCACTAAAGTTGCGACAAATTACTAGGCCTAGTGTGTGTGTGTATCGATACAAATATTGTAGTAAACCCTATTTAATCACCTTGTAGATGCTAACTTAATCAATGATTAGTTATTCCTAAATTCTTGTGATTCTCTCTTAACTGTGAGCAAACCTTAAACTGCTGCTAGACATATATAATCCTTAGATATAAACCGTTGACCAAGTCTGAGACGAGGATTGGATCCTTTTTTCTTTTTTCCAAAAAAAAAAAAAAAAAAAAATATATATATATATATATCACATTCATTTAATAAGTAATAGAGTAAACCTTGCCATTGAACTCTGTTGAATCACACTTTTATAGATTTCTATTAAAATCACTATTTGCAAATACCTTTGATGGTGATTCTTTAAGTGACCTAACCACTCATCCCTGACACCCAGGAGTGAGAACAACTGGTTGGTTTAATAGTAAATGAACACTATTTTTGCTAGCAAAAGAGTTGGGCTTACCAGCTCTTCGTTAGAAAGAAGAGTAAGACTATATGAAGATCTGCTATAGGTGTGTGCACGTACTTGGGAAGGGCTGGGGGAACAGGCACCCTCCCCTTCGCAGGGCAGCCAGCAGCTGCTGGCTGAGTCCTGCTGCTGCTCCTGTGGGAGCAAACATCAAATACAAAGACATGCGTATTTTAATTCCCATCCTCTGAGTGAACCTGTTAAACTGAAGATGGAGTCTGTGATCCTATAGCCACCTGTTCTTCCATCCAGAAGCTCTGAAACCTTTCCTCCTTCTTTGCAGAAGATGAATGAAAGCATATTTCATGTGCTTAACATAGGATATTTGAGCAAGTAGTTAAATTAGATTAAATTCGTTTTTTGTAAGGGAAAAGCAAATCTTGAATGCTTCAGGATGTGTTGCTTAGTTTGCCAGAAAATTAACACCCTCTCTAACAGTTCTGTATACTAAAACCTTGAGCTGTACTTTTCACATTACTTGCCTTAATGCCCACAGAAATTACTTTTACTACCTAACTCATTATTTTATGCTGAGAAGTAAATAGAAACAGTAGTTAGAAACAACAGCTGCAAAATAACACAACACGGCCTTGGGACAGTTTGTATATTTTCTCATTGCTTTCCTGTAACCCTGTTTGGATCTCAGAGTTTGCGCGGTGGCAGATGGCAGAGAAAAGTAACACAGCTATGCAGTGCAAGTTCGCACACGCGCAGTTACGTGCTTCACTAGGAGCTCTCTCACCCTTGTGATTCAGCGTTTCTTATCATTGATTAAGGAAACAGGATTTTAGCAGGGCCGATATCCAACAGGCTGTGTGGTCATCCTCAATGGGAAGAAACCATGAATTGTGGCATTTCATTTCAGAAAATACATCCTGCGGAACAGCCCTCTCTGGGACGCACTCAATGAGCAGACTCACGCTTTCCTAATACCACTACTCTAGGGTAGGCACAAAGAAAAATCCCCCTCAGGAGCAATCCCTTTTGCCAGCAAAAGCACCAAGGTATATTTCAAACATGTCTAATTATGCAGAAACAAGAAGGCAGAGGTAGAGAACTGTCCCTTCCTATTCATTCTAACACCCCAAATTGAAGTGGTAGGATTTTCACAGTTCCTTGAACAAAATAAACAGACTATCCGCAGCACACATCACGCATGTAGGTGTTTGCAGGGTTATTCTAACTGCTTATAAATTGCTTGGCTTAAAACTATTTCAGAAAAACAGTTTAAAAACCTGTAAAACTACTATTACAGTATATTCTAACTGCAACCCACCATAAGGTCATTATGGCAAAAAACGGTAAAAGGTCAAAACTCGAATTAAGTTATTTGAAAAATCATTTTTCTGGTGATGGCCTTACAAGAACTTTTGAGGGTTTTATTGAAGCCTGATATGAACTTGCTCAACAATAATGATGCTGCAGGAGAGTATACATTTCCCTTGTACTCTGTGTGACAGTTTCCGTTGAGATGAAAGAAAAGACTACAAAGGCAAAAAATGATGCTGTTACCATAGAAAAACTGGGTATGCATATACATCCCACCATAGTCTGTGCTAAATATCAATGGAAACTTACGGCCAAAGTTACAATAAAACAGCAATGTTAAAGCAACATCATTATACTATTGAGCATCTACGTGTACTAGATCACCTACTGCTGGTAATACTTGAGAGCAGGGAATCTCTGCAACTCTACGGCCCACATCTCAACTATCTCAGTTACTTTGCCTCTATTTAGCTCTGAGCTTTCCAAAATCTGCAAGGCATTTGTAATTTATGTGCTGGGTGGATGGGCCATGGCTTTGGCGAGGGAGAAAGAGATCAAGAAATATGTCTCATTTAAGCAATGAACTGGTTCACACTGAAGCCAAGAAGCTGAGGCGAAGACAACCCTTTAACAACACCTCTATCAAAACTGTCACTTTGATGTCAGAATGTGCAAATCTTGGGATTAGCAGCAGTGTGATTTTTTTGTTTTAAAAGACTGCAAGTCAACTGTCTGAGCTTTAACTTGACCCCTGAAGACATAAA